CAGTCATGGGTCGATATTCTGGTGTCCTAGGAGTAGAGGAACCACACCAATCCATCCTGAACATGGTGGTTAAACTCTACTACGGTGACGATACTGTAGGGGAGGTCCTGCAGAAAAATAGCTCGATGCCAGGATGATAAAAAGCTTAACACCTCTAGTTCTTATTACTTTTCAATATGAAAACGAAAAAAAAGAAAAATCAAAAGGTCATTTTATTCAAAACCGCAATTGTGACATCCCCTCTCTCCCACTTCACACCTCAAAATGGCAAACTTGAGTTTGAAACCTTTGTGAAGATCTTCTCACTTATCTTAAACTGTAACTTCAAGTTACTATTGATGTAGGAACAAACCACTATAAACATGTATCTCTATGCATAAGAATGAATATATGATTAATTCAAATACATTAACCCAGCAAGAGTTGACCATGCAGGGGAAGTGACTAATGAGCGGGGTACCTTAGCTCCTTTTATAGTGGCATGTCATTCTTCCAATGCCTTTCTACTACCATTCCTCCCTTTTATGAAGAAGGAATGATAACACTCAAACCACACCTCCTTTAGAAGTTTGAAGCGGACGTTGTCAATAAAGAACTCAACCAGAGGTTGGGGTCGATCCCACAGGAAATATAGAAGGATGTAGAAGAATGCTAGTGCTTAAGCTTTTTAATCAATTATTTCCTAAGAGGGGGGATTTGTAAAATTAATAAGTAACAATGTTGAAAAATTGATGGTTGTTTCCAAATTAATGCAATTAACTAGGATAAGTGTTTGTCACGCCCCGCCTTGGGGGGTATGACTAGCACCTGGTGCCCTGGTAGGACCTGGACTGCTAACTGGTAAGCCTAGGCACGTCTGGTGCCTGGCTAGCTCTATTTCTGATTTCNCTCAAGACTAAAAGTAGTCAAACTGATCAGCTGACATTTCGATAGAACATTGGGAAAAAGGATTATTTTGAACTTAGACCGAGGTATTAATGGTAATTTTCTAATCTCGTAGAACAGAATGTGATACGATGAGATATAATGCAATAGAAACAAAGATAGGGAACGGGTTACCTACTCTTAATGGGAAAAGCGAGCCCTTTATTCTGAATTAAAGAATTCAGAATCAATCAAATCTCCCCAAGCAGGATTCGACTCTACGACCAATCGGTTAACAACCGACCAATCTACCACTGAGTTACTGAGGAACGACAGGAGTTTCGATCTCATAGAGTTCAACTCCCGTTCCCGAACAATATGAGCTTGAACCCCTCATGTGCGAAATTATAGAAGATCCCCTTTAAGATCAAACAATTTCATCGAATTGAGTATGATTGTATGTGTGATAACATCTACTATACCAGGAATATCAGTGAACCCGATTATTGCAATTGCTTAGGATAGCCTTTTTTTAGCTTCTAGGGTCTATTTCTTAGTTCAAGACTACCTATATCAACTACCTTCTTCTTCTTCAGCAATTCTTTCATGAACTTCGTGTATCCTGGAATTTGAAGAAGAACATCCACTAACGGTACATTGATTGACAACTTGCTAAACATATCAACAAAATTGCTGAACTGGTCGTCCTTTTTTTTCATGGCGAACTATTCTGGATAAGGAGGTGGGGCTCTTTCTTCAACCTTGTCATCATTTGGGGCCTCCATGCCTGCCTCATCTTTATCAACATGTGAGGGGATTTCATCATCCTTTCCCTCGCCTTCCTCTTCATTCTTTTCCTCACTACTTGGAGTCTTTGGCATCTCATCAAGTCCATTTTCCTCATCTGATTTTGGGTCATTAACCTCCTTGGGTTTCGACATTATTTCACTCGGAAACATTCTCTTCATTCGTGGGTTCATTTGTGTCGACAGGTGATTCATTTGGGCTTCCAAATGCTTGATAGAGGCTAAATGTGAGCTCACTATTTGGGCAAGGTTACACACCTCCCCTTTTAACTCTTTGACCCTGCTCTCGGTGGATTCTACCTTCTTTAGGACTCTTGATAGCATTTCATCAATTTTTGAACTACCCGTGTCACTCACACCTGGCTGACTGTGGGACTTTGCAACTTTTGGAGGGGGAACATACGGGTTTGAACTCCGATGATAGCGGTCGCTGTCATGACCCGAATGTACACCTGGAGCGTAGACACAAGACAAGGGACACCAAGAGACCCCAAGTCGACCCATGGCACATGCATACATCTAATCTCATTTAATAAAGTAGAATACTTAGCATAAAACATAGCGGAAACGTAAACATAGCGTAACAATCAGAAGTACTGGGAATATACATAAGTTGAGTTCTACATCCTGTCTGAAAGCCTCCACTACATAAGATGGGTTGATGGGATAACATCCCCAACTAACCCGACCAATACTGAAACATCAATAACATGAAAGTCTGTCAAATGGCCCTCGGAACATGAGGACTCACCAACAACTGAGAGCGACAACTGAGATGAACTAAGGATGAGGATGAGCCTGAGGTTCGGACCCAGTATCATGAATAAGATACAACATAGAAAGTATGCGATCAGTACATGGAATGTACCGAGTATGCAAGGAAAGTAAAATGAACATTTAAAAGTAAAATAAACTCATAAATAAACATAGGAGAAGGACATTATGCTTGTATCATAAACTTCGTAAGAAATCAAAGGCTCAAGGCTTCCAAATCATTCATAAATCATTCATTATCATAATCGTAAGTAAACCTTATCAAAACATAACTTGAGCCAATAACATAAACATAACAATGCATAAGACACGTGGAACAATGGGAGGACTCGTCATAACCGACACCATCATGGTAGAGCCTTTCAAGATGCCCCAACTATCTCACTCAAGTGGGCAGAGCCAACCCTGGCTTGCCAGGCGAGGGTCGTGCATTAGGCATGATATCACATTTGAGGGGACCATTATCAATAAAATATATCATTAGAAACCCATGGTGGCACGTGGTTATAAGACACCGACATAGTCCTTTGAACACCGGGATGCTCAGTGCTAGATACGGCTCCCAAAAACATACATATAGGCTCATACATAAATAAATAACGTCATGCATTAAGATTCATTGGATAAAATATAACATTTATCATTATCGATCCCCTTTAAACATGCTTAGCCAAGATTCAAAGGCCTTTTTCATTCGTCGACATCATAAATCGAAAAATCATGTAATTGGCTCATAAATCATAAATCATTCTTCAACATGTGGACATTTTCCAATACTTTGACATACTCATTTTTTTCAAAAATATGCTCATAAACATGGGTAACTTGAAATCATACTTTTCCATCATCAATAATCTCAAAATATTCAATATTCATCATAAGTTATAACTTTCATGAACTCTTATCAATGGGCATTTTAGATTTAAAAAGCTTGAAACATAATTTTCAAGAAAATAATTTAAAACCTGCCCATCATTCATTATTCAATAATTAAAACTCAATTAAATCATACCCACAAAGAGAAATCACATTGTTCATGCATTTGGGTAAAATTCCATAAAACTTGAATAGGAGAATTCATGACTTAATCGAAATTTGGGCATGGGTGTGAAAGGATTCATCCCTTCTAAACCCTACATACCTGGGAATGACCTGATTTCAATGTTCCTTGAACACCCACAAAGAAATTGATGGAAGCTTGGAGAGGAAGACCTTGAATCTCCCTAAACCCTCTCTAAAGCTCTTGCATGGGAATGAACATGCAGTATGGACTTAACCCATCTTATCACACTCAGAAAATATGCAAAACGACATTGTTTAGGGTCTCAAAGCATGGGAAAGTCAAAATTTCCCTTAATGAATTTTTCCCTAAAAACTGCTCCAGATGGGCACGATACCATGACTCGTGGTATCGAGTCATTGGGTCCACTGACTCACGACAAACCTCAGGTTCTTCCCACGACTCGTTAGGATGAGTCGTTGCTTCAATCAATGAGTCGTTGGATCGATCGTCATGAACTCCTTGACCATTTTTGATCTTCCCTTACAACGAGACTCACCACAGTGGGTTGGCTATAGTACCAGTAGAATCATAGGAACCTGGATAGGGGTATATAGATTGAATTGTACTTGCCAGGGCTTATGGGGGCCCCGGTAGTTTATTTCTGTGTTGCTTGCACCTTCCAAGCTTATGGGGGCCAGATTAGGTTCTTGTATACTTTCTTGTTAGCTGTAGCCTATGAATGTATAGTCGTATAGTTTCAGCTCATATACATGTAGTGATTTACTGAATGCAGGTTATAATAAGAAAGTTTATAGGTTATCTTATGTCCCTTCTTGCTACTTACTTTAAGTCTTTATCAACTTCTATTCAGCTTCTTAATTACTGCCTTACATATTCGGTACGTATTGTACTAAAACCCAACTATGGGGCACTGCATACTTGCCTGCAGGTTTAGACAGACAGATTATGAGATCTCCTAGTAGCTTTTCAAAGTTAGTAGTTCGTCCAGCTCCTTTCATTCGGTGTTTCCAAGTTGGAGAGGTTTATCTATCTGTTATCTATATAGCATTTGGGTAGGCCGGGGCCCTGTCCCAACCAACATTTTCACTCCTAGAGGCTTGCAAATGACAGTATTTAGTTAGTTGGTTGTGTGGGGCCCATGTATGTCTTATTTTATGTGTTGGCTATATGAGGCCTAGTATAGCTGGTTGTTTTCATTTTCGTTATAACTAGACAACATGGTGGTCTTGTCGATCCGCATAGGATTACTATTATTGTTATGTTGGCTGGGTTAGCTATTTTTTTATAGGTGCTGCATGGCCTTATCGGCCTGAGGCTGTCTTTACAGCTGAGATATAGCAGTTTGTTCTCTTGATCTTGAGTGGCTATTAGGCACCAGAGGTGCCTATGTACAGCTAGGTCAGCTCAAATCTTAGTATGGCATCAACGACCAGTCATGCCTCCCAAGGTGGGGTATGACAAACTTGGTATTAGAGCAAGTCGTATCCCAGGAAGTCTGCAAGCTGTGTCTAGTAGAGTCTTGTTTATAAATGTTTTGTGCACCATATTCTATAAGCAGTAGGCTACTAGGCATGATAGTATGGTTACCCCTCATTCTTCTCAGATCGTGCTATAGAGCCGAATTGTATAGGGTTGAGTCCCTAATCTTTCATTTTTATGTCTATCTAGAGTAATGTTTGATATGGAATAGACTTCAGTCAACCGCAAGTTAGTTACAACAGCAGGAGAGGGTACCAGTGAGGTGCCACAGTCGAGGGACCGTCAGCCTAAGGGTGGAAGCAGACGTCTTCTAATCTCCCCATCATCCTCCCAAGGCACTAGGAACTTCATAAGGTAATAGATATGCCAGCACCGTTCCCATTTTTTTCTATAGCCTCAAAGTAGGAGGATAGAAGTATAGTATATATGTGAGTTGGCTTACCTACTAGGAATTTGGAATTATGCGGGGGCGACAGTTAATGTTGGATTACCTGAAAGGTACGAGAGCAGGGGGAAATTGCAGGGTTCTTACCTCCAACCCCTCGATGTTGAAAAGTTCCATACCTCAGTCTTATATGGCTATTTTCCGCCTCTCAGCTTTTTTCTCAGTATAACAGAGAGCATGAGTATTGAGGCGATGTTTCCCAGAGTAAATAGTAAAGGAGGGCTAGATCTGTTGACTCCTGGAGAGTGTTAAAAAGTGGTTAAGACCCCTAATGCTTAAACAAGTCACCTAGACCCTCACAACAGTAAATTAGAAGGGTAGGTAAGAATGCTAACAACACCTAAGAATGGGTGAGAGTCCATAAGCAGTAGATTCCTAGCAATAGCAAAGTTTAAGTCAGAAATAGACTAACCCCCACAATGTGCTAAGAGACGGTAGTGTATACCTAAAGAATAATGGCTATGGCCCCAGTTTGTTATGTCTAAGGACAAAGAGACTATATGAGGGAAACTGGCCATAGTGCGGGTCAGGACAATATGGGTTGGTGACTTGGCCAGTGGCATCCTTGCCAGCATGGTGCATAGGGCATGAGCCCCGGAATTCAACCTATAGAAGCAAGGGGAAAGACATAAGCAAGGCATGAACATCGAGTCTTGGAGAAGGAAAGGACCATCTCTACATTGTAGCGGGCTAATAGAGCTTGGAATCTCCGCTGAATGTCGAGGAATAGGTATTAGGATGACATTTAAAAGGGTAGTGAGATTGTGACCTAGAACGTTGCAGTACCACCTTTAGTTGTGG